CGGGCTTGCAAGACCCTCGCGGTGCAGCCCCTGCCTCCCTCCTCCTCCGACCTCCCGCTAGCCCGGCCACCCTGGGCCTTCTGCTCCCCAGCTGACTATCTCACCCCCGCCCTCGGGCATCGGCACCTCATCCTTCCCCTCACTCAGTTTTCGCCAGAGACATCCAATCTTCAGAGAGGCCGTCCCTAACCACCTTGACTCAGGAACCCCCGACCTTACTTATTTTAACCCGGTTGAGATAATTTCCCTATTAGAAATTGTCTTACTTCCTTCCATTTACAGGTGCTAAGGAAGACAAACATATTAAATAAGCGAATAAGCAAACCCTTACTGAAAGTCTGGTCAAACCCACAAGTAGCAGAAAGGAGGAGTGGTGATTCTATGGACAGTCTTCCACTTTTCTTGAGAGTATTTTCTGATGCACAAAAGTGCTTCATTTTCATGAAGTCCAATTGGCCAGCCTGCTTTTTAAAACATGTTTAAAAACACTGTATTGTGGAAATTTCCAAACATATACAAAAAAAGAGCATGGTATAATGAAGACCCCTGAACCTATCATGCAGCTTCACAGTAACTAACATTTTGCCAATGTTGTTTCATCTATGCCCCTGTTTTTATGTTTGTTTTGTTTTGACCGGAATATATATATATACATATATATATATATATTTTTTTTTTTTTTTAGTTGGAATCTCACTCTGTTACCCAGGCTGGAGTGCAGTGGCATACTCCCAGCCACCACAGCCTTGACCTGCTGGACTCCAGCGATCCTTCTGCCTCAGCCTTTCAAGTAGCCAGAACTACAGGCTAATTTTTGATTTATTGTAGAGACAGGGGTCTCGCCAAGTTGCCCAGGTGGGTCTCGAACCCGTGGGCTCAGGTAATCCACTCACCTCGGCCTCCTAAAGTGCTGGGCCTGCCAGAATATTTTGAACCAAATAGTAAACATGTTGTTTCATCTGTAAATACTTCAGTACGCATCTCTAACCAGTAAGGATTTTTTGGTATACATAAACTCAATGTGGTCATCCATCCCATGACAAAATAAGCAATAATTCATTCATATCATCTAATATTCAACCTATATCAAATTCCTCCAACTGGACTCAAAGGTGACCTTTTAACAGTTAGTTTATTTGACTTAGGATCCCAATAAAAGTCACACATTGTGTTTAACTGCTGTGTCTCTCAAGTCTCTTTTATTTCATGAGCCTTTTCCCCATTGTTTTTTATGCCATTGATTTGCTGGATAAACCATGTCATTTGCCCACATTCTGGCTTTGGCTGGAGTCACATTGCGCTATATACGGACAAACAACTGAGCAGCCTAAGTCAGGGTCCCAGAAACGAAATAGACCTTAATAATAGCTAATAGCTAGGTGGTACAAGCTGCGTTGGGCAGTATTCATACACGAACTCATTTTACCCTCACAACAACCCTAGGAGGTAGGTCATGCTATCATGCCCATTCTACAGATGAGAACTGTAGGCCAGGGAGGTTAATTTGCCCTAGTTCACACATCTAATAGGGGGCAGTCTGGTTCCAGCTTGTGCTTTTCACTGCTGAGAGATTTATATCTGGTCGCAGAAGCCCTTTGCTGTCACAGAGTGCTTCTCAGTGCTGAGACTGAGGGGAAGACCTCACATCAGAGCCTCTGTTTCAGGAGCAAGTGACCTGAAGTGCCTCCCTTCCTCTTAGTTATACAAACTAATGTCTAGGCAGCTGTTTTCCTAGGAGTAGAGTGTAACAGGGCTTTTAAGAGAGATTATCCTCACGCCAGAGAGGTGACATCCTTTCCCCGAGTCTCCCCTGCCTCCCAGGCAAGGTCTCTTTCCCTGGGCTGCAGTCTCCCTAAGTGTGATGCTTTGGGGCTGAGAGACTGGCCCAGGTTGGCGGGCAGCCACAAGGAGTCCAGGGGTTCTCTCTGCCACACCAGCCCATGACTTCACAAAGGACTGCTGGGCCACGTCTGAGACAGGGAATGCAGGCCCCAAATGCCCCCACAGGATGCTCAGGGGCACAGGGAATTCCCTGGGGATCAGGCTTGGTCTGGCAGGCCAACCCCTGACTCACTACAGTCAGTCCTGTGGTGGAGAGCCCTACAGAGAGAGCTGCACTGGGGACACAGCCGTCCAGGGGCTGCTAATTTTCCAAAGCCCAACCCCAAGTCTCTCACACTTCGGCACGCACCTCCAACCGATAAAGATGGCCAGCTTACATCCCACCCTCCATAGTGCTCACCTTTCTTCTCGGGAGATGAGCTTTCCTTACCCCTTCCCCGGGGGCTGGAATGGAAGAGAAATCCAGAGGCCAGACCCACTTGGAAATTGGCAAGATCCACCACAAAGAATTTGCTCAAGGGAGAGCAGACAAGAGCAGTAATAGGAAATGCACAGGGATAGGGGTCCCGTCCTGCTCTGGTGCATACTAGGTGCATACTGGCTGGGCACCCTGCTCAAGTTCCATGCCTCAGTTACCTCATCTGTAAAATGGGGATAATCTACTCCAGGGATCTTCACACTTTTTCTGCAAAGGGCCACAGAGGACATATTTAATCTGTGTGAGTCAGGCTGTCTCTGTCTTAGCTACTCGATTCTCTTTCTCGCTGGAAAGTAGCCATAGACAATTTGTAAAGGAATGGCCATGGCTGTGTTGCAACAAAACTTGACTTAGAAAAGCAGGTGGAGAGCTGGATTTGGCACACAGGCCAGCCAGCCCCGATCTGCCTCACAGAGCAGCTGGGAAGAAGTGACCAGTGTGACTTGCGCTGTGGACTGTGCAGCACTTGGGAGGAGCTGGGGGCGGGGGACAGCGACGAGGCAATAAACGAACGGCTCTGAAGCCCCCGGGGGGCCGAGCACTTCCAGAGGGAAAGGACACGGGCCTGGCCGCCAGACGGGCAAGGCTCCGACGAGGACTCGTCCAGACACCGCCTCCGACCCACGCGGGGCCGCCGTTCCTTCCAGGGTTGAAGGGGACGACCGACGGCGCCCTTCAAGTGCAGAGGAGGAGGCGCTAGGAGCGGCTCGCCCGCAGGCCCACGGCGCCAGCGACGCAGGCCCGTCCCCACGGCGCACCGTCAGGGCAGAAGCCTCTGCCGGGAGCTGCGCGTCTAGACCAGAGGCTCTTATTTGCGCCACCAGCCCCGCCTCCCCCAAGAGTCCACGCCCCAGACGTCTCGTGGTCCCAGCCCCTTGCCCTCCCCTGGGCCCCGCCCTCCAGGATCTCCCCTGGGCCCGCCTCCGGCTCCCCTGGGCCCCGCCCCCTGCG